ATCAAGAGGCTTCGAAGTTCGAGCACTCGTGTTTTGAGTCTGAAATGCAACGTGCCCTATGTTCCAAGTGGGGCAAGGCTGACAACAATCGTGTGTTCCCCTTTCGGCATTCAAGGCTTCATATAGTAGTTCATAGTCTGCTTGACATGAGGCAAATGAACAAAGATTTGCAAGAAAGGAGTAGATAACATGCCTACTATGTGAAAACAGAAGCCCCTATTTTTGTATAGGTTCTGTGGTAGCCTCCTCCTGTAGGCTCCTGTAGGTCATCAATACAGAAACAATACGTGCTCGCCGTCTCTTCGGCGTCCCATCGACTCGTGGTGGAACCAAATCAATTTGAAGAGCTCGGGCTTCCCACTGCCCAGTCTTATCGATGACCGGGTATAGCATCCCCTTGTTCTATAGCTTACTCTCAGCCGACTCTCAGCTCCATTTTATTTGATGTGGATACATGAGTAATCGTGGCGCGAAATTCAGAGGCTGGTAGAGCAGACGGTAAGATGTGGATACCCACTCTGCCCTACTCTGTCCCGAGGCGGAAAGACTGTATGGCGAATGTAAACCATTCCAGTTAGGAAATGAAGTAGAATCGCAGGGCAGGACAGACGGTTCGAACTAGAGACTAAGAGGCCGTAAACTCCATTGGCTGCTCACTTCAGAGTATATATTCTGCCAGTGAGTGATTGAAGGTTATAAATCAAGGTTGCCTGGAATTATTCTGTCAATGCTTTCCTAGTCTCTCAGACACGAACGACAAATACCTCTTGACACTTCGGGTTGAGGTGTACAGATTTGTTAGTAGACAGGCCAAAGGCTTACCGGGTCTATGACTGAGCGGCTCACGTCGGTGGCAACTGGTGGCAAGTTGCAACCTATACAATGCATATATTGCCGTTGTTTGTGGGACCTGGGCCTGATTAATGATTAATGATTGCTGAAGTACGGCGAACCAATTTCGTCTGCTGCTTTCTGGAGTTCGAATGAACGATATTTCCACATGATGGGAGTTTCCTCCAAGGAACTTCGTGGTCGGAACGTGGAGAAGCAACGGTCTGTTCTCGCCGCCTTGGTGGTATTTGAGAAGGTGAGGATACGGGTAGTAAGCGCTGAGTCGCGCGCGTCCACCCTCATATTCCCACGATACGTCCTGAATTTCTGTACATCCTTCAAAAACACTCTTCAGGACGACGACGACGTTGACATTTTCACCGCCCACTCTTTACCTACTCTGTCACTCTTTTGAACACACAACAGCCTAACAAAACCAAAGGTGAGCATATATAGATATTTCACTCTTCAAGAGCTCATTCATATTCCTTTCCAGCTTTGCCTTTGATCATATATCCTATTCAACACTATGGTTCCTTCGTTCTCTTTCGTCGTTCTCCTCGCTGCTACAGCTTTCACTCAACTTGCTCGCGCTGATGTTGTGCCTAACACTCCTTCTACTGGAAAGGCGGGTTCAACATGCACAATTACCTGGTCAGGCGACTCGAATTCGACAAGTAATTGGTCCAATATGGCCATCGAGTTTATGACTGGAGACAACTTTGACATGGTTTTCTTGACCAGTTCGTAAAATGCACTCCATTCCATACATAAAAACTTATATGATTTCTCTATAGCTGTCGCTACCGGTCTGGATGGTACCAAGTCTGGTACATACAGTTGGACTTGCCCTGATGTCACCATCTACTCTGCCATATACTTCTACCAGTTCATCTCCCCTGCCGAAGTCGAAAACCCTGTCTGGACCACTCGTTTCGCCATCGCGTCTGCATCGGGTGATACCACTACCCCACCCAATGACACTCAGCCAGACGGTGAAGCTATCCCTTGGGGTAAAGGTGCACTCGTTGACGCCTCTAGCGCGAGTGCTGCTCCTGCGTTCGCGAGTGGAGTGACTGTGACTTCTGGTAGCATCCCCGCCACAACAGCTTCGAGCTCCTCGTCAGTTTCATCAGTCGCTACAACGAAGTCTGGTTCTGCTAGTTCCAGCGTCACGACCTCGAGTGCTCATGGTACAACTAGCACAGTAAAAGTTTCTGGCAACACCTCTGGCGCTGCAGGTGCTAAGACTAGCTCTGCGGCTGCTACCGATGCCGATCAAGCTGCGGCAACTTCTGCTTCAGCGAATGCTGGCTTAGGACTTGCTGTTGACGGGAGGGTATGGACAGCCGTCGTCGGTCTTTTGAGCTCCGCGATGGCCATCGCTCTATTCCTGTGACCGATGTCCATCGTTCAGCGCTCAGTGTATCCGGGCTGATGCTGTTCAGAGTGTTTTTAATGGCGATTCTTTGACAACGAAGCTCCATGTGTTGACAATCCCCCTTCAATTCGTCAAATACTTCTTTGACCTTGGCAGTGCCCCGTGTTTCTTTTCTCATAATGATAATGTTGTTGGGAATTTTCTATTCGGGGTACTTGTGCCGCATATATCGATACCACCTGCTTTCAATCAATCTACATCCATACCCGCAACATGCATGATAATTCGCTCGTCGCGTTCATCACAAAATGTATATAATGACTAGTTGCATCAGGTAATGGAATTGCATTGTGATAAAATCCTTCAGAGATCGTACACCAGATTTGAATAATGATAATTTCAGCCCTAACAACCCTCTGTCAACGAATCTCTGGGCTCCATCATAACTCGTCTTTGGGGGCTGAGGCTGGCTCCGGTTCAGAAGCTGCGGTCTCCTCCTTTGGTACTTCGGATGGCTCTGGGGTGGCAGTAGCACTAGGTGCAGGCTCTTCTGCAGAACTCGCAACAAATGTAGCTTGAGCTTTGGCTTCTCCAGTCTCCACCATGGGTTCTGTCGCTTCTTTTGACCCACTCTTACTTTCACTCTCCTTCTTCTTAGGAATATCACCCATCATCCCAGGGTATCCCTGAGCTCCGTGCGGATTGTGACCCTTCTTGAGAGCGTCCTCGAAGTCGATAAAGTTGGCAAACCCTCCATGTGCAAGAGCAATACGCTGAGCTTCCTGTTTGCGCTCGATTTCGAGCTCCTTTTCGTCTGGAACGAACTCCTCGGAGGATGCTTCTTTGTTTACAGTCTCGAGGTCGGCAGTACCGTCAATGACAGACTGGAAGAAATTGGAAAGAGAATCGAGCTTGTTGATACCTTGGGTGAGTTTATAAGACCGAATTCATCGAGAGCGGTGCAGAAGGTGAAGATGCCGTACCTTCGTAACGCACGGGAATTGTTGATTCAGGTGCGTATATGATCACCTTGGATGCTTTCTGTTCACCTGCTTCGTAACCCATCGCCACAGAACTCTTTCCCTTGCGATCACGATGAGAAGCCAGTTCTATTTTTCCCGCAAACTTGTTGCCGAGGACGGTCCATAACAGAGGAATGATCTTTTCTTTCGTAAGGAGCAGTGCGCGAGGTTTTCCACTTTTTGCCGTCTGATGAAGATGGTCAATTTGCAATTGCATGTATATGAACATGGATAAATACCTCTTCCACCCAATGTTCAATCCCTTCTAACTGTCCAATTTTCTTGACATGATTCGGAACGCGCCTAGATGCGAAGTAAAAGAACGAACTTGCAGACCGATCGCCAGACTCGTAGGTAATCGGGTCGAGTTGTTTCCCTCGAGGATATAGCTAGAGAGTTCTAATGTTAGAATCCCAATACTATCATGAGGAAAGTGCTCTGACCTTGACCGTTGGGAAGCCTTGGACACCCTGATGGCTATTCGTGAGGGATACGGCGTCACGACAAGTAGGGCCCTACACACCTGATCATGACACAGACGTTTGTTGGCTTCTGCATCGCAGTCGACGGCATATGTAGGGATGAGAGGGTAGAGACCTAATGCAGCTTTGCTGTACTCTGGAGCCATTCGTTGACAATGCTGTCTCGCGAAATGAGCGGAAACACCCGTAAATTGTACCCTATGCAACTCACACCACACCAGGGTGCAACAAATGCAACCATAGCGGTTTCCTGAATCATCGATGAGCATTCGCCCGCGATGTCAATTTGGATAGTATCGAACGTACATTGGCCTTCATGACTTTCCGGAATCCCTTTGGATCGAGCATCTTAACCACAGTGTCCTTTGGGAAGATTGCAGCCGAGACAAACGTTGAGTAGAGAGCAAGTGCTACCGCGATAGTCTGAGTATTCCACATATCTGCTGAACGAGTGTAAAGGTGAGGAAGTTCTGGAAGAGTCGCGTTTATGAATTCTGCTCATGAGAGTTCCACGTCATCGTGAGAATATGACACGTGCACGTGGTCGGTAATTCGGAAAACACGGTCGCCAGAACTATTCGCGTCTTGTACCGACGAGGATTTGTATTGCAGATTGGACTCGAAGCAGTCGAACGGTGAGATTGAAGGCACAATTCTCAATGGGGAGTGATGGAACTTACTTACTTGTTCACGTTGTCGATTCAAACAACTTGCCGCGGTCACTGTCAGAGTGCCGCACAGTCCTGCCAGTGAACCAGGTCCCAGGATGTACCAAAAGACGCGATCAGTGAAGATAAAGCTCTACATATTCTATGTCAATCTACTGGAGATGCACGCATTAGATCGAGCGAAGTTGAAGACGCGTATTATCCAGCAGTATGTAACCTCGACTCGGGGAACGAAACGCTACTTGGTTATTCATTTGGAAACAGATCCAAGCCCGAGATCCTTGTCTTTCTTGGGAACGCGCCAGGTAGCTTGGTTGAGCGGGTTGTTACGCGTTAGATGTCCTCCGCAAGCTCCTAGTAGCGCTTAGCTTTCGACGTAGCTTTCAATGAGCCAGGGAGACATTGTGGCTGTGTATCGATCCTCGGCGCTCGTAGAGTATGTCTGAGACATCTTCGATCTGACTCCTGGGACTATTTGCTCCTTTATTTGGACGTCTATTCAGATTCTCTCGGAGTTACGAACCTCCTCCGCATCTTCCAAGATGTTGACCGATTTTTTTCGTTCTTTCTCGTCTTCAAAGCGTTCTTTTTGCACACTGTCTGGACGATTTCGAGCGCTTCCTTAGCTCAGTGGTAGAGCATTGTACTTATGGGCGCCCTACGTTACCCTTTCCATGCAAGGGTCACCAGTTCGAACCTGGTAGGAAGCATTTTTGCCGAGAAATGCCGAGTTGGAAGAGAATGCCGCAGTCACCCAAATTAGCGGCCGGAACAAGGTTTGAACTGATCAGCCGATCGGCAGACTCTCCGGCAAACCTGTCGGGACGAAAAATAATACCGGAAACAACATTTCGATACACATTCGGTCTTCGAGTTATATGGATACAAACTCAAGTTATCGTTGACTGGGGAACCTCAATCATGGTCTGAATACTCGAGGTACGAGAGCTACATACCATGGTGAAGCAGAGTAGCGGTTACGAAGTAGAAACCACCGTTCGAACGGCACGAGGAGACTTTTTCGCCAACTCTTACGAACCCATCAAGGAAATCATTTCAAGGCCTCAACAACACCTACAGATTCTAACTATACACGAAACAGAAGGTCACATATGAATCCCATGCTATACATCGTGACTGACACAGGATCAGCCAACATTTAAAAAGTTAGCGTCTTTTCACGTTCCGGTAGCCTAATGTTCGACGCGTGTTCGCGCTAGGATCTGGCTGTTCAGAGGGTTGTTCAAGGGTACCGATGACATCTGAGCGGGTGACCTGCCACAATATCCTGCAAATGTTATCTACGAATCGTGAGGCTGCAGCAAGGCTCCGAGGAAACATGCGGACACCGCACATCCTGTTATCGACCGTATTTAAGCCTCATCATCTTCATTCACTGTTCTACCTTAAGTCCTTCGATTCTAACCATAACGTTGTTGTTGTTAAACTAACACGCTCTCTCTCCTCGGTGATCGCTATGTTCCCTACAAATGATTTTAGCTTTGTCTACTGTGGAATGGCGACATTTGCTGCAACAGTGGGATACGTGTATGCCAAAAGACGAAGAATGGATTCGTGAGTGGAATGTGTTCAATTGAGATGTAACGTCTTACTGATCGTTTGCCAAACAAGACCTAGTCGACCAGAATCGACTCCTAGGAATACAGTGACAGAAGTGCCAGTCCCAGTGGATCAATACGTCGAAAGCAATCCCGCAGGCATACCAACAGATCTGTTCATCCCAGAAAACCAAGCTTCTTCGTCCCATGCTCCTCCCGATGAGGCTATCACGATGGCCATTGCAAACGCAGCAACCAACCAGGGTCCATCGCTTCCAGCAGTGGGTAGAGGGTTGTCATTGAAGCGTAAGCAGATGCACGATCATGACGAAAACAACATCGTATGTCACCCACCTTATGCACAACAGATATGAGTGATTGATAGGCAAACCCTGCTCGCAGCCATTGGAATATCCACATGTATGTCACCCTCCATTTCGCAATGTACCTGAGCCCGAGCATTGATCAATGATGTCCACTAGAATCTCGCTGCCCTTTACCCAAACAAGCGTTGCAAAACACCGCCTTCGATGGAAGGAGATGTACAGGAGATGAGTGGAGTCGGGGAGCCCGCGGAGAAGGTAAATCAAGTTTCGAACTTTGCCAAGAAGGGTGGCATTTGAAGATCTTCTCAGTGCAATGTTCAGACTGTTGCAGTTCAAAAACTAGCTCCGTCTCCAGCAGAGAAAGACGAACAGGACATGCAAGCCGTGGAATCTGCAGAGAAGGTAAGTTAGTTTCTCGCAAAAGAGTAATCGTACTGACCTACTAATAGGGCGACATCCAACCTACCACAATTCAAGAGACGGTACCGGAGGCGACAAGCCAGGAGATAACTTATTCATTTGAGAAGCCTATCAGTAAGGGTACAGTCGTTTCACAACCGCCAAATGAATCGCTGATATCAGTGAGTCGAGTCATTCGATCAATAATCTAAAACTCATAAATTCAATTAGGTTACCCCGGAGATAGAACAAAAAAGCACACCAATGTCCGAAGTAGGTTCTAACTAGCTAACGCTGGTCTTCAATCTCATCTTCAGATTCAGCCCACTCAGTCCCCTCCGGTTAAACCAAAAGCGACACCAACATCGCAAGGATTCGCCTTCGAGGGCTTCGCCACCGCGACACCTGCCTCATTCTCATTCGACAATGGGACTCTGGCCTCTGGAGCAAATCTGCGACCAACGTGGTCGACGACTAACAACTTCAGAAAGCGGCATTCCTTCGTCGAGAAAATTGACGACGACAGTCCCGTCAAGTCGGAAGGAAAAGGAGCTAATGCCCTGGAATCAAATCCCCGTCAGGATACACCAACTCAAACTCGTCAGTATTTCCTCCACCAACAGGGCAAGGTGATTGAACGCTCATTGAAAAAGCAGGTGTGACCGGAGAGGAGGACGAAGATGTGAAGTGCGAGTTGAAAGGCGTAAAGTTGTTCGTCAAGCGGGGCAGTACTGATTATTCAAGTGGGATCTTGGGGCAAGTCAGGTACTTGTCGGATAAAAAGACTTCGAGTCAGAGGTTGTGTAAGTCGCAGACAGTGAGCCAATCCGAGGTTCAAGATCCTGATGCGATCCCTGCAGTGTTTCGTAGAGAGCCTTTGTGGAAGATATCGATGAACACTCGTCTGCAACCCGCGATTCGATGTACATTCGATCCGCAGGAATGCATCCTTAGGCTTCTGCTGGCAGAGTCATCAGGAACAAAAGCATCTGGAGCGATGGAAGTCGTTGTTTACGCCCTGAAGGTACGAGTGCATGAAACTGGGAGTAATTGACTCGGTACTGATCGGATTAATACAGCCAGGAAGGTTCTGTTCAAGGAAAGAGTTTCAAGAATTTGCAGAGTCGGTGATGAACAGTTCGAGCTTGAAGATACCAGCGACGCAAAGGATGAAAGAGGAAGACAAGGGAGAAGCCCAAAGCTAGGGTGAACGAGTATGATGTACCAAGCAGGAACTTGGAGGTCTAACTTATCATACGTTCAATTTATTACCGTCCGAACTCTTGTGTGGGCTAGTTCATTGAGTTGTTCAAATCCGCGCAAGGCAAGACCGAAGCACTGATTATTGCGAGCGAAGCGAAGCAAGTGGGTTCATGTGAGGACAGAGAGTGGTGTCCGAGTTTGTACTTATTTGTAAAAGTCAGGCTCCCGATAGAATTTTCATGCTCGACCTCGTCCTGACATATATGCATGATTTCCCGCTCAAATCTGGCCCTTTCTCTTCGACACTCTCAGGATATGTTCCAGCTGAATGGTGTAAGGGTTCTTTGTGTTGCTGAATGGGTTGAGGAGGCAGAAATTCAAGCTTCGAGGCTTTGAAGGAGAAAGGATTCTGGAGTGCAATAGAATGCAATATGCCGCTTCAAGTGAGGTTTTGTGCTATATCCTGTTCATTCTCTCTGCTTATATGCCTGTCGTCTACAATGCTATTTACATGCAGAATTCTCAAGTTGAATAGCGCGATCTTGATTCTTGAAAACCATTCATGAACGACCACTGACCACAATTCCTGATGCACATTGTCAGCATCACATTGGTGACTGTACCTCTCATTCAAACTCAGGCTGGTGAAGTCCTCTTGATTGAAGACTGAGTACTGAATCTCTAATGTACATAAAGTAACTACGTGTAGTAGACTGGATTTCATGCTTCCTTCGCGAGCACAAACCGTGTGCCACGGTTACTTTATAATCTGGGCCTGTTGTGTACGCAGAGTACGACGGGAGTGGGACGGGAGTATGAGAGTGAGGTGAGAGTCCAGAATGAAAGGGCAAGCGCCCAAAATCAATGGTCGAAACAAGATTCTCACGCCTCTGTCACTATAGGGCTCTATATAGGGCTGTGCATTTTTTGTGTCGAAACCAACATAAAATCGATGGCGCGACTTACTCTGTGCACCCACAATGTCAGCGATAACCGACAGACTACCCGTTGAGACTATACACGAAATCATAACATTCCTGGACTCACCTTCCGATGTTCTATCCTTTGGTCTCTCAAGCAAAACTCTGGCGGAAATTTCTATTCCTCATCACTACATATACCGCGTATTTCGCGTCAAACTCTCCGAATCTGCCCCAATATCGCGTTTTTTCGCTCAAGCAGACCTCGCCGCAGGTGAAGTTCGCGAACTTGATATCCTGCCTGAAAACATCACGGATGTCTGCCATGGTGATTATGGACCAGATCGTTGGATGGCGGAGCCTTTGATCCCACCCAAGGAGCTTGCGCTACAGAGCAAGAGCACAATCGATTATAAGTCGTACGACCAAGTCAGGGAAGTTGAGCTACTTCTCATTGAAGCAGTGAAGCAGATGAAACGTCTCAAGCGCTTTGGGTGGTATCAATGTCCACCTCCGTTGGTTGTCGGTCAAGGTGATCTGTGGCATACCTTAGGCAACTTAGGGAGCTTGGACGAACTAGACATTGCCGATGAGCCACTCTCACGATTCAGTTCCTCGCAGCCTAGATTTCTCGATATCAAACTGTTGGCCAGGACGGAGACAGTGCGTCATCTTCTCAAGTCCCATTTCCTGTTGACAGTGACACTAATTACGGTGCAAATTATAGTTCCTCAACCTGAGAGGGCTCAAAGCTTTGACCATATCTACACATGCATATGATAGAGTTGAAGACAATGTGGATATTACTGGTATCTTCGGAATGTTTGCGGGTAACAAAGACTTGGAGGTACGAACCAAACTGTGCGTTGGATTTTTTGCAACTTCTGACATTAATATCTTCCAGAAATTGAAACTCTTACTCAAGTCACCCGTAACAATGTCAATCACTCCTCTACTCGCTGCTGCACGATGGGACCATATGCGCATCCTCCACCTATCTGGCAGGATTCACTGTACACCATCCCCGCTTCTGAGATTTCTCTACGCCCATCCGCTCATCGAAGAGCTGACGTTGGCCCCATTGATTGTTGGTAAACGATGGCTTCACAAACCGAAGACCCCTCCTACGCGGCCTCTCCTCCCTCATTTGAGGCGTTTGAATTGCAAAGTTTACCAGGTAATCTGGCTTGTGGAACATGGCGCGGGTTCAGGCATCATTGAACTCACTGGAATCTCTTTGGCGCGAACAGTCATCATGAACGGCATATTCTCTGTCAATTACCCTGACGAAGTCGATGAAGAT